CATGGATACTTAACGTATCAGCGAATGTGTGAACACGCCGGAAAGCTTGGGTGTTGCTTCTCCAAAAGTTGAAAGGGGAGCTTCGATGCCCTTCAGCCATCTTCAGCCCTTCCCGTCTTTATTCTCTTGGATTGTTCATTTTTTACGTCGCCACCTGTAACAAAACCTTAAAGAACACTAGCCAGGGTTGAAGGCATTCATGACCTGAGATGGAGGTGCCCAGCGAGACCATTGGTGTGAAGATCACTCCGCCAAGGCACTGTGAGGATCAACCTGGTTGCCTGCATGTCTATGGCATGTGAAGCAGTTACAGTTGTGCTGTTACAAGGCAAAGATGCCTTGTAACGTCGTAGAATAAAATGCCGGGATTGGCACAAGATGTTGATGAATCATGATGAAACATGACCTTGTTTCCTTGTTGCCCTGCCAGGTACGGTGATGGGCTTCTAGTACAGTATGCCCAAGAGCTCAGCTACAAGGTTTGTCCAAGTGTTCAGAGCACATCGATCATAGCCGGACCAATATCCATGTCTGTGTGTGTTTCACTGCGGATCATTGTATCATAGATGCTGATCAGTGTGTTTCCACCACTGCTTGACTTGACATCGCAGTTTGAGACATCGGCAAGCATACAAAATGCTGGTCTTTGGCTCAACAAGAAAGCGAGAGACCATTTCTTTACTTCGTGTGTTTGACCGAACTCTCCCCGAACTCTCTGAGTCGGACAAGAGTAGAAGGACGGCGTCGGTTGGACAAAAGATAGGAGAAAAGTGTTGTAGGCATCTAATTTGAATCTATATAGCATATTCTGTTTCGTGTTTTCCAAGGTGGTGAGGTTGGAAGGCCCGAAAGCCACTGAAGAGATGACGAGCGTTCGGAAGCTTAGAGCATCTTACTTGTAGCGCCCTACTGTCGGGGGGAGCAAGAGGCAAACCTGGAGCCCTGTGGTGCAACCTTCTACTCAACAAGAAAACTTTCCCCTTGATTCCCCAGTCCTACTTTGCTATCTTTAAAAAAGCATTCCATGTTGATCTCGACGTTTCAGGCTGAAGATAAAGCAAGATAAACGCTGGATTGTTTCCCCATGCAGTAGGCAGGCATGACTATAGTTTAGGACTGCGGTTGAACAAATTCATTAGTGGCGTCTAAAACACTTAATTCTAGGTGGGTGAACAATTGCCAAAAACAGTGGCTAGTGCACTGCCTACTTCCAAGTAAATCCTCCTTGCAGTGAGGAAGAGATGTGTTTTGAAACATCAGCGTAGTGTCAGATTTCGCAGCATACCCGGATCTCTGAGAAGTATCGACGCACTCTGGGATAGGTTAAGGCTTCATCCCACAATCAACTCTTGTCCACCATGCCCTGTCCTGTGAAGGCAAAGCAGTTGCTGATCACAGCCACGCCACAGCAAATTGCAAAGATTTTCGAGGCAGAGGTAGCCATGGGGCCTGTTGTTGAGCCACAACAATCCGAAAGCCTTCGGAGCAAGAGCAGCAAAAGAGTTTCATTTCACAGCTTCTCGCTACACCAGAAGTATATCTTTTAAATCAAGCTTGCCCGCGATGTGACGAATAAATCCGCAGCATCCAAACTGGCACTGGCTTTCGTTCCCCACATTCTCAGGTCTTGAACAAATTGACTTCCCAACGACATGCATGATGGTGTATTTGTCCCTCAGGTTTGAGACCAATCGACGCTTGTATTTCCAAGCACCTTTGCGTTAGTTCCCTGAAGCTCCAATGCCTGATACCTGGATGTCTCAACCCGAAAAAATTGGCAGAAATCTCATGCACACCCAAACCTTCACATGATACATTGTTGATCATTGTGTTTAAATCGTAGCAAATTCGCTGGATCTAATTGGCCAGGTCAATGCTGTCGCCTCAACTGCATTCACGGTGACAGTGGTTGAGGCAGGGCCACAACGATCCATGATTCAGCTTCACTAAGCAGTTTCAGTGAAGCCTTTTCTCAAACCAGACACAGAATTGGCGTTCGTCCGACTACTCCACCTAGACCAAGACTGTTTCTTTGGGGACATGTGAAGTCTACAAGTATAAAGGAGAATGCTGCGACACACAAGGGTTTTATATGGTTAATTCCGGTTTCGGACAGCATATGGTCTTGAAATATCTCAAAGCACCGTCTCTTTAATTTTTCGAACAGCCAAAAGTCCTCAATAAAGAGCAGTAGTTCGATTCCTACGTAAGATGAGTGGGCGTTTTGCAGAGGTGGAGCCACCTTTCATGGACGCAGCAAAGAGCTCAGAGTAGGTGAGATCGTTTGAGATTCGGAATTCAATTTTGATCATTCAGAATATTGAATTTAAATCTCTAAGACTCTAAGCTGCAAGCTCCCCAAGACCTTTGGCGGTAGAAGTAGATCAATGCCATTTGCGGTTCTCCTCGTTGACAGTCTCATTCGATCCCAACAAATGTCACATCGATCAATTCGCGGTGCAGAAACGGTGTTGACGATGTTGACGTATATAGTATATAGAGGGATCTACAAAGCTGCATGTCTGAATTTGAGGCATAGGTCCTTCCTGCTCTTGGGGATAATCACCCAAACCAGAAGATATGACCAGAAGTGGCTGCTGAAAAGGCAAGCTGCATTGATCTTTGCCAAGGCACCCATCCATGTCGCACCGGCAGGAGGAGGCTCATCGCCACTCTGAAGAGTCCTGAGGAAACGACGTGCGTCATGAATCGTAAGTTCCCATGATGGTTGGAGTGGTTACCATGCCACGGGAACAGGATTGTGGAATACTAAAACATACTAAAACAAATGTGTTTTACTTTGTACATCGATCTTTGTATAGTTGAGTTGCTACGAGTCCAGCATGTCAAATGCATGGGCTTGTATGGGCTTGGCTGCCACGCTGTGTGCTTGCATTTGCCGCAAACGGCTTTGCTGCGTTGCCAGGTTCTGGCATGGTTTTTGACCCCCAGGCCACGTTTGGACCGAACGCGCCGTTTCGGACTCGGATGGCTCGACGGTCGCGTCGCGACGGCAGGTCGACTCGGCGAATGGTTTACAGGCTTTCCTCATGCCGGGCTCGTAGAAGTGGCCGGTGGACCGGTGTGAGCAGCGAATCCAGTCGAGTCGTCGGCAGTCGAGTCGTCAGTTCTTCCTTTGACTCATCGTGACCCTAGGGACGGTGAGAGAGTTTCTATATTCCTGCGGACGGTGAGAGTAGCAAACTTTCAGCTGTTCTATGGCACATCCTGTAGAACATCCTCGTGGAGATTTGGGCTCTTCTCTTTGTTTGACTGCCACAGAAAGAACTGAATGATACCCAGTAGAGTTGTAGATGTGGGCGATTTCACCATATTTTGTCGAGTTTGGGTGCTCATGCATTTGTTTGTTTTGATCTGCGAAGAGCTGGCTGCTTTGTCCATTTGTCCAGCACAGACAGCTCTAAGGTTGGCGCCACTGAGCATCATGGTTGGATGCGTTTAGAGCTGTGACCCAGTCAGGGTAGTGCCTGGATTGCTTGGACTGGCACAGTTCTTTCTGCCTGACTAATGCTTTGGCATACAGGGTGTTACAATTTGATTCATCTTGTGATTCCAAGCAGACAGGTGTGAAATTCAGCATTTCGCTTGCGGTGCCACTCCGCTGGATTAGCCTTTGCTGTGATGATCTACTTCGAATGTGAAGTGCAGCAGATATGGTCGGACATGTGTCACGCAAACTCCACTGCTTCGGACCGCAATGGAACAAGCTTCTTCTTGCACTGCGCACTGCTTTCGCATGGTGTTCTTCGCATGGTGTTCAGCTTCACGGCTTAACCAAGGAACGAGCATATGTAAGATATGTGTGGCTGTTCAACCCAGGTTTGCGATGTGTGCATGATAATTAGGTGCACACCCTCTTTGAACAACTGTTTTTTCTGCCGTGCTTTAGCTACTGTTCGCAATAGCTCAGAAGGCCAATGTGTCCGCGGTGGCATTGCAGATTCCTGTTGGGTGTCTTTTGCATGGGCACCAATGCTGCACCAAGGCTTTGATTGCCGACAAGGAAAAAGGCAGTTCCCTGTCAACGTTGTTTCTAAGGTGAGGTCCTCGACACCCAAATCCGCATGCAATTAAGCCTGTGGCAGGGCAACCCTTGCGTAGAAGTCTCCAACAAGTCATAGAGGCCTGACCGGAGACTAATAGGCAAACATGCAGGAGGTCCAGTGAACTGCCTGGAAGTCAATCTCAAGAAACACCAGATGAATCGCATGTGCTTGCGTCCAACAACGGGCGGGTACTGGTGGGGTAGTCATTGATCGATCGTGTCCGACAAAGGGCGGAGTCTTAATTAAAGCAACGCTTAAGCAGTCCCTGCCACAGAATTCATGCAAAGCTCGAGAGCTCGAGCGGGGGTCCTCCGTATGGAACTGACCCCAACTCCTGGCACGTCGTCGCGCCGGTGCGCCCGTTCGAACGCACAGTGCAAAGCAGTGTGGCAAGCCAGAGAGCTAAAGCCCACGACAGAGCTGCTTCAAAAGGATGCTGATTGGACAAGTTGTTGGGATATGGATTTTAGTCAGGGATGTGTCTTGTGAGTGTGTTTATGCGCATGCATGCTACAGTGTGTTGGTAGAGAAGCATATGAGCGACGGAGAAAATGATTGCAAGACTGCAGAAGAAGGGATGTTGTCTAAATCATTTGGATTTTCTGCATAACCGATAGGGGCCAGCCCTACTACTGATACCAACTTCATTGAAAACTGGGTTACCAGACAACCATCCAAAGTACGACCAATCCTATTTAAGTCTGACCGTCGGCTAAGCAACAAATATTGTCCTGTGTTGTCCTCCACTCATGCCATACGGCATACTCATGCTAGTACCTCTACAATCCTCTACAACTGTATGGCCAAGCCTTGTCCTAAATCCGGCTTGTCGGCAGAATGGGTTCACCAGATGTTTCAAACACTCGAGATGGGTTCACCATTTCTTCTGCGTCGGTCACCACGCGCACCACGCGCTTTGCGAAACAACCTCAGGTGACACAAGAGGTGCCGCATCTCTTAGAGGCTCGACCGAGGGGAAAGAGCTTCGCTTCACTCGTGGGGATGAGGCCAATTGCTGGGAAATAAGGTTTAGGAGGCCCTTTTTGGGGGGGGGAGGCCATGGCGACCATGGTGGCCATGGACACCTACCGCTTGTGTGGCGCATGTCTTCTTGGTGTGAAAGTCGTAGCGTCCCGGACAGCTTGGACCTTGCTGGGTAGCTCTTCGCCAGGCAGCTGCTGCCGGGTTGGCACCTTCAGAGCCGTTGATTGTAAGGGTGAGGCACCGCACCACGCATAGGTTGAAAGTGGAAAAAGAATGACAAAGAGTCTGACATAGTGGCTTTAGAGTATAGTCATGAATTTTGTGTGTGCATATTTATTATAGATATATATATATTAAAATATATATCACAATATATTTACATGCATATGATTGGTGGGTTTAACAAGATTGGAACCGCGCATTCTCCCAGATTCGAGTAGAGCATTAAAGAGGCCTTTTCCGCTCCGCTTTCTCATCGGCTGGCCAGTGCATGTCGGGTCTTCTGCCGTTTCCTCACTGCAACAGCTGATGAAACGCTGCGAGAGGCGCGATTAGAATTCTTTGAGTCACTTTGAGTGGTGTCCGAGAAATGGTTCGATTTGTCTTCCCATGGGTCGAAGACAGGGTCCCTCTATTTCAATCATTTTTCCACATACAGAGACAACCAATCCCTTTCGTTGCACCGTGTGAAACAGCGAGCATTTCTGGTATACTCAGCAATGGATTTGGGCAGCTTGAGAGGTTGGGGCAAGCACATCCTGAGGGAAGCGCCAGGAATCGGTGTTTAACATCAGCTATGAGAGAGAAAGATGAGAGCATCAACGGATGTAAGAGCCTGAGCTGATGTAGCTGAACCAGCACAGGATCTTCTCCTCAAGAAGGGTGTGTTGGCATCTTTGGGAGCCCTCCTGCGCGATGCGGACGAGGACGGTAGATCATGGAAGGCTTTGCAAATGATTGGCCTGCGTCACAAGTAGCTGTAGCTTCTTTGTTCAGGAAGGCTTTGCTAGAATCAGAAGTGGCTCCCTTCAGCGGTTCGATGTTGGCACAGAAATCTCAAGTTGGCATCGCAGAAGGACAGTGGTCAACCTGTAGATGACATAAGTCAACGTGTCTGGGGTCGCAGGATGACCTATGCAATGCATCCTCAATCGCTCGATTCCTAACATTCTACAGGTATCATGCTGAGAACGGACAATACAGTAATTTGCAGTTTGCCCTGCTCACACAATAGGTTGGAGAGGCCATTGCTATTAAATAGTTATATTAGTTTGGAGGCCATTGCTTTTAGGTTGGAGGTCATCGCCATTAGGATGGACGCCGTGGCTACTAGGTTGGAGGCCATCGCTATTAGGATGGAGGCCATCGCTACTCGTACTACGTAGGTTGGGGGCCGTTGCTATTAGTGTTTGACACACACAGGAGTTGCTTCACCTTTGCCTCGAAAGCCTGTGCATCATTGTGAAGGCGGAACCTCTCCAGATACCTTTGCTCAATGGTGAAAAGGACGCTTTTTACTTGCCGGGTTTTACCAACTGTTGTTATGCTCTTTCAAAAAATACAGAGTTTGACCTACGGCATCCTGCACCATGTCAGCAGAGAAACCTCTGAACTCCTCCATACCCGAGTGAGACTGCTCGCCAGAAATGCCCGAAGACCATGGCCGCTGTGGAAGGTGACCTTTGCCCACTCACTGTGCAGGCAAGGGATTGGCTAAAGCATACCAAAGCCAAACAATGGTGGCTAATTAGTGGTAAGAGATATCAATGTTCATTTTATGCAGCACCATTTGTTCAAAAAAGCACGTTGATGGTCCTCGCCCATGCTTGGCCCGTGTCCGATCTGAGTCCTGCAGGATGTTGAGGACCCTGAGAAACCGTCCTTGTCTAGACTGAATCTAGACCGTTGAAGCTGTCCTATGGAAAACAGCTTGGAGCTTTGCAGATTTGGCGGCGGTGTGCTGCAGATCCTATGGTACACATGCAGGCACACGTCAGCGTTGCACATTCGGGGTCAGGCTTGTTGCTGGCTGGACGGATGCCGCGTAGTTCAAAAGTTCTGATATCACTTGCACAGGATCTTTAGGAGGGTGTGACGCATCCCTTGGATTGAGTGCTTGCAGCCAAATATGAGTCTGATGCAATATCACCAATCATGAGCCTCTTGAAACCAATATCTAAAGCTTTTCCACTTGGGCTGTCCTCAACTGTTGAAAGGCTTCGATACGTACGCTTCATACCAGTTTCAGAGAAGAAACCTTGCGAAAGAAGCGATTAGCCACACGACATTCATGGCCTTTGGGTGATTTTCTGTTGAGACCTTTGGGATAGGAGTGCGCCGACTGTTTGGCGTTTTGTCGGTGAGTCCAGCAGGTCTTGGACTTGGTGAGCTGCTGTGTCTTCGTGGACCAGCGCTTGCAGAGAGCCATGGAGGACGCAGGGAAGTCGTTTGCTTTAATTTATATATTGAAAATGTATGAACAATATAAATACAAGATGTTTGTGGGCAGCAGCACTCCACTGCCATAGAGATCTGGAAGCAACACCCTGCAGAGCCAGCAGCATCCAAGCTCCAGCCTGGCGCACACCAGCCCAAGATCCACATGGCCATGGACATTTTGCAGCTGCAGCGGCACCTGCGCCCAAAGCTCCAAAGCGCATACGGCATGCAGGGGGCCGGAGCCAGGTGGGGGGTCTCCGGCCAACGAAGACACCCCCCACCTGGGTGCAAACGTACCTGCGATCAACTGTTGTCCAAGCTGTTCTACTCTCTTTTTTGCTTTCATGGTGGTTTTCATGATACGTCCCCCAAACCAGGTTTCCATGCACGGCGTTAATTCGGTCTGCTAAGTAATCAGTAACTAATTTTCTGCAGTTATGCATCACGAGAAACACTTTTTTCAAACACCTTCAAGTGATCGGACGCTTCACCTTGCCGTTGAGCCATTCCTTTTCTCGGGGCATTGAGTTAACTGAAAACCCAATGTCAAAGTGTGTGCCGCTCTGCCGTCCCACTTGGGTGCAGGGTGTGATCCCCGTCACTGGGGCGCTGCTTTCATGCCGGAGTATCACTAACGGATTTTGCTGCTTTCCGCACACGTTGGATTATATTAACCGACTTCGTTTCACCACTGTATTCCCAAAATCCAAGCCGCCGGGCACCACGGTTTTTACGACCGCCAGGTATACGGAATGTCAAAGCCGCCGGAGAATGACCCCACAAAACCCCCCCCACGCCGAGTTCTCTACTCCCCACCTAATTAGGGTAACAGAGGGAAATGGTACTCGACACACTTGTGTGTCGGTGCCTTTCCCTCTGTTGTCCCTGTTCTAGTCTACTCTACCCGGGCGGGTTAAGACTAAAGGCCCGCTCCCTAACTATTGCACCTAACTAGTTTCTGCTAAGTAATCGGTAACTCTAGAGCGCTAAGTATTCAGACACACACATGGACATACACCCCCTCCCTGCCCCCCGCTTTCTTTCTTGCGTTTTTCGTCGTTTCTTGGGCTTTCTTTCAGGCTTTTTAGGTGGTTCTTGAGGCTCGTTTCCCTGCCGCTAAGTATTCACCTTTTGCTACACCTATCTTTCTCTCCTGCCCTTTTAGCGCTGCTCTTTCTGTTTTTCTTTCTTTCTTTTCTAAGGCTTTTTAGGTGCCTAGTTAGGTTTTTGCGCCAGAGCGCCGCAAAGCGGCTGAGTGTGTGTGTCACACTCTGTTTCTAAGAGTTTTTACACGCAGGGGGCCGGAGCCAGGTGGGGGGTCTCCGGCCAACGAAGACACCCCCCACCTGGGTGCAAACATACCTGCGATCAACTGTTGTCCAAGCTGTTCTACTCTCTTTTTTGCCTTCATGGTGGTTTTCATGATACGTCCCCCAAGCCAGGTTTCCATGCACGGCGTTAATTCGGTCTGCTAAGTAATCAGTAACTAATTTTCTGCAGTCATGCATCACGAGAAACACTTTTTTCAAACACCTTCAAGTGATCGGACGCTTCACCTCGCCGTTGAGCCATTCCTTTTCTCGGGGAATTGAGTTAACTGAAAACCCAATGTCAAAGTGTGGAAACCATGCTGGTAGACGTTACACTAACGACAGCTTCGGCTGGTGGATGTAGGATTCTATGAATGAAGTGTGTTCGTGTGTGTAGTGTGGAGGACAGGTTCTTGAGTTTTGATGTCCAAACCGCCTAACAAACTTCGGTCCGAATGCGAAGGAACATTTGCTGCCAGTGGTGCACAGTGACCTGCAGTTGCTTCCTCAGTGTGGGGTTTTTCAGACCAGTGGAGGTCATCCTGGGCTCCGACAGGGAGGTCATGATTCAATACAACGGATTCGTTCCTTCTCGTGTTGGCTCTCCATGCATTGCTACCTGGTGACGGTGCCATTCCTCGCCAACGTTCCATGAGAGTTGATAAAACACGCTAAGACCATCTAAGACTGAGACCAGTGTGTATTTTTGCACTGTGTTCAGTGGAGGCTTGGGTTTGAGCAAGTCAGGTCTGAGCCACATCTTGCCTGTTCGGCAATGGGACTCTTTGGAGCACGAGGGCTCAGTTGAAGATCCAAGAAGGATTCACGAACATCCACGAACCATTGAAGCAGATCCCAGAGGTAGTGGATTTGTGAAAGCACCACCTGCATGCGGCAGGAGCACTGAGCAGACGTCATGAGCCCAAGTGGATGCTATTTCAAACAAGCATCGTGTACCCTTCGTCAGAAGCCACATATACATCTTGCTTTTGGCCCTTTAGGCAAACCTTCTGTGCTGCACCTTGGCAAACAGTCAGGAAGCATCCTGGAAATCACCGAGCAAAGACATCGAGACATCGTCGCTTCAAACAATATCTAATTCCACTCACAGGAGTAAAACCCACGCTCAGGCAGGGATCCCACAGACTTCACCTGTAAACAACATGGCGGCGAAGAGAAGACGAGCCTGTACAGACCAAAATTCAGGGAAGAAGGAACCGTGCAGCTGTACAATGCACGTGGAACAAAACTAGCAGATGGTCTTCATGGGTAGCGCCAAACCATAAAGAGGAGCGGATATCCAAAAAGAGAGAAAAGGCAAAATACGCTTTAACCTGGACAGGAAATCCAGCAAGTGAAATGTAGTACGTACAAGGCGCGTCTTGAAATGCCTTCAAGTATGCAGTGAACGCGGTGATGCACATCGACACGCCACTTCACCACCAATCACTCGCGGCATGTGCATTTGGTGGCAAAGTATAAGCGCAGCGGATTCAGGCAGATCCCAGAGTCTACAAGTGAGAGAATTAGAGTCACAAGAAGCCCCCCGAGCGGTTGCAAAGACTTCTGTGTGATAAGGAATTTGAAAGTGGTAGCTCTGATCCAACAAAGACAGAAACATATAGCTACCAGAATTTGCAAATGCTGTTGGTTTGCGATGCAGAGGTAGCCCTTTGCCACCAGCCATGGTGATGTTTGTTTTGCAGTTACAGTAGACTTACGTCTCAGGCAAAGCATGAAAGTATGTTACTACAGTATGTTGTCATGAGAAATGGTGATGCCATATCAACAGCTAGGCTAGATGTGGAGGAAATCCCAGCAGATGAGAGGAGGTGCTGTTACAGCTACGGATTTTCCAGTGACTGTCGGATGTTCCGCTCCAGAGCTTGGGAAGGGCCTTCTTTCGTGGGGAGACTCCGTGGATGGTGGACACCTGCGGGACCGACGACCCGCCCAAAGGTTCCACAGCGGGAGACCGGGCTGGCTCGGCCGATGCGAGGTGCTCCTGAAGCACAGCGCGGTGCCCTTCGGCCCAGAGGTCCTGAACTGCGCCGGGCTTCTACTCGCGAAGGTGGGGTGATGCGGCTGGGGTGATGCGTTGAGGATGTAAAGTGAAGAAAGATAAGAAAGCAAGCCTCGCAAGCACCGCAAAGCTGACTCTGCCATTCGCTGTTTACAGTGAAATTGTCTCTGGTTTGCTTTTCGGCGAATGTCTTGCTTATGAATTTATGCGTGACTGATTGATGCAGCAATAAGTGTACTAAAAGCTGAGGAGCACCAGGTAGGAGTGAGTGTTTGACAGCTTCATAGTTGCCTTTCCATGCTCACACATGCTAACCCACACATGTGGAGGCACTCGACTGGTAGTCACGCCATGTAAGTCTCCAACATGAAGAACTGAATGCAAAGAATGTCCAACCAGATTGTGTTTGTGTGTGTGCTTAAGCGCATGGGTTCATCAACGTGTCATTTGACTTGCCGGCTGCCAGATTTGTTGATGGCTCACTTTTTCTACGGCTCAAGACCTGCTTGATACGGGAAAACTCGGTCGCCGTGACTTGATGATAGTTGTTGCTGGTGTTGTCTTATTTTTGAAAATTGCTTAAATGATCCTAAATCATTGCATCAATTGTGAGTCGAATACTTAGAACCGGTATATACTTCAAGGACAGCACGAAAGCCAGCTGCACATGTTCGCTGACCCAAGCCTCAATTCACCCGTTCCGGCCATGGAGACGGAGGACATTTTTCAGTGGCTCGCACGGGAATTGGCGCAAGAGCGGGTGGAACTCGAGCCCTGGCTGCGAAAATCACGCCTGTTTTTAGTTGTAATCAGCGGTTGCCAGTTTATCATATCTCTTTGCATCAGTGGCATGTGCTATGGTGAACCTGGCAAACTTAGGAAGCGCGACATGGCACCCTCCTGAAGGACGCCGACAGACGCCGCCCTTTAGCCCTTTAGCCCTTCGTAGCGGCTAAACACAGTTCCGGTTTACAGGCTACTGTAAAGGTGCCATTAAAGTATCCTCTCAGACCTCAAATCCTTCGGGCTACTGCTAAAACAGGCTGTTTGACATGTTGTTTAATGATGTTCAATGTTCATTTGGTGAGGCTTTTGCAGTGATGACCTTCACCACGAGACACCACATGACACTATGTGAAACTATATAAGTGACTACGTGAGAATAATGTCTAACAGTAGCAAAGTGATGCCGTGTGAGTCCAACGTACTTTATATAAATGTCCCTAAAAATCTAGGAACCAAATGAATAGCGTGAGCTATCCTGCGTCCTAGGTAGTAGTGTTCTTGTAGCTACTAGCTGCTAGCTACCGTTTGCTTCTGCTAGCTACCTAGCTAACCTACCTCACCTCTACTAGCGGCCTACCCCCCCGGGCAAAAACATTAAAGACATATAAATTAGTTACTATATAGAAGCTTCTTGTTACTACTAGTAAGGCACTTGTTACTAGAAGCGATGCACTTGTTTCTAGTTTTTCTTGGCGCCCAGTCTTTTCGTTGTTTGCTCGCGCAGGAGCTCTCGCGTCGGCTGGGCCCTGGCTCTCCCAAAGGTCCCTTGAGTGCGTTGGAAGTCATCCGCCTGGCGGACATGGCAGAACAGTCCCTTGGCTTCGTTGAGACCAAGGGTTTTGTGGCTTTCCGAAAGCTGTTTCTTGGCAGGCGCAACCACCAAACGCTATCTCCGCAAGCTTCTTTTACATCCGCCAGTTTCTCATGATAGTCACTATTTTGGCTGGGTAGACAACCAATTGCTAGTCAATTACATGGTAGCCTCGTTTGATCACCTGTTTGAGCTCTGAGCTCCCGGCCGTGCGCCGTGAGGCCCACTCAGTCCGAGACCGAAGACTTGAACTGCGAAAATATTCACCACGCCGAGAGTGGTCCAGGACTGGCTGCCGTGGAGGCGAGAATTGGTCCGGTGGATGGAGCGGTAAGCGCGAGGCGGCTTTTTCGCGGTACGCGTCGCAGTGGTTCGGTAAACCAGTTCAGATCGATTCGGAATGGAATATCCAATTCATATCAATTCCTTTTGGGGAGAAGTCATCGGTTCTTGCGGTTTATGCGAAGCCAATGCTGTGATTACGGATTTGGAGATTCAAGTCCTCCAGCGCCCTTTCTCAGGCATCTTTGGTGCAAGAATTGGATGAGGAACTGCACAAGGAGCTACACCGCATGTTGTGGACAGGTCTCGGGTTCAGGGCGCGCTGTGGCAGAGATGAAGGACAAGGCGTCATTTCTTTACTAAATATTAAAACATCCAGATCCTTCTATTGTAAATAGTGAGATAGGAGTTGGGGGCCACAACGTCTACGTCATCAGTCAGTAGACAAGGTTGCCAAGTGTAGTACACAGCAGGATGACATAGGAGTTGTGGACGCTCTGCCAGCACACGACTTCAAACAAACATATGTATAAATACCGTTTCCATAGGGAAAATCTGACTGCTTTAAGCTTCATGACTTAGGCGCACTCCCTAAGTTTTTCCCACCGCCTGGCCTATGTCATGTGGCTTCTTGCCACCCAAGCTCAAATAGATTATTCTTTTGCCATGAGACCATGGGGCCATCGATTAAATTCAAAGGTTCTGAAGTGATGCATGCATCTGTCGAACTTTGGTCAAGATGACATAGGAAGTAGGCACCCTGGAATCTGCACCAACGCTTTCCATCTCATCTCCTAGTTGCCACACGCTATGTTGGTGCACTACTCCTAGGTCATGTTGTCAAAAACCTCTTCAAAGCATGCAATCTAAAAGATTTATGTGTGTGCCAGGGTCATTTTTGTATGTTTTGACCTGATGAGATAGGAGTTGTGGCGTAAAGGCTGTTCCATGATGACATAGGATTCTTTTTTCCCACCATACTTTCACAACTCCTATCTCATTTCCCGGTAGTATAAGGGCGTGTCAGTTGCATGCGCCCTCTTCGGAATTCTTTGAAGTTGAAAAATGCCAGAATCGGATGGCAGTTCGGCTGTATAGTTTCCTGTTCAAGTTCACGTCTATCTGGCCCCGGACATCTGAATGGCAGCCTTCACTTCTTCCAAAATACCTATGTTTTGAAATTCTTCATGGTTGCTCAGTCTGCTGTGTCGCTACTGTATTGCACCTCCCCTTTGTTTGCCTGCCTCCCTGTGCCGGATTGTCCTGCTGCCTGGCTACGATTTGAGATCGTCAAAAGAGAAATCATGGTTGCAGAAGCAGGTGGGAGACGGATTTTTTCGGCTAAATCGCTTCGTGTACATGAAAGCCGGTCGTTGTGCTGATATGTGCTGACTCATTTCTCGGGGTTCCATGGTGTTGGGAGCATGTTGTTGTGAGTAAATGTGGGTCCATGAGCCCCTGAGAAACCCAAACCACAAGGGTGGATTCATCAGTCCTTGTGTGCATTCCACCAGCAATTTGTGTGCAGGAGGAACAAGAGGCGCGAGAACAAGAGAAGAAAAAAGACAAATTACACAAGAAGGAACAATCTGAATTGAGCCTTGCTCGCAGCAATGTTGGTATGAGTGAACATCTACCAATGCGTATGGAACTATTTCCTGTGATGTTCATGATCATTCATTTGGGCAGATGGCCGGGTAAGTGGAGGGCGCTCCACAAGCTCCAAGGCATGGGTTGGAGGAGAGAATAGGCGTTCTGTTACACGCATCGACATTGCGACACCTGAGCTGGTACTTTACAATGCTGGAGAGATGTGAACATGTTTGTGTTCAGTTGTGACCAATCGGGCGTGTGACACCAAGGAGTAACACACTTCGAAGGAAGTCGCAAGTTGCCAAATATGCCGAACAGAGTTGGTTGAAGCCACTCTGGATCACTCAATCAGCAGCCTTTGATCTTGGGTTGCAAATGCGGATGGGAACTGAGTAGAGTACTGTAACAAGGGCATCGCTACTAGGGGCAAGGGTATCGCTACTAGCAAGAAGCAACTACTAACAAATGCATCGCTACTAGTAACAAGGGCATCGCTGCTAGTTTCTTCTTGCTACTAGCAGCGATGCACTTGCTACTAGTCCCTTCTAGTTCGTTTAGTGTACTGACGTCTTCCTTGGTGCGTCCCTGCGCAGATCTTGGGTGGCAATCTCGCTGGATGGTCATAGGTTTATCACTTCATGGCAACTCATTCAGTGAGTGGCCAGCAACGTGAAATTCCATGCATTGTTCCGTAGTCCTCAAGTGCCTTGGCGACTTGATTGCAATTTCCAAGGAACTGACCTTTGCGTTGTGTATCCTCTTCCATGCAGTTACTCGAAGCAGGGCCTGACTTTGGGGGATTGAGCGAGAACGTGCGTGTGTAGTGTAGAATCAAACAGTTTTGGGAAAGTTACTAGGTATGTGTCCGAATTAGAGTGTGCACGTCTTTGAGAGTCTCGCATTGATTTGTTCCAGTGAAAGATTGTCGTGCCGGTGTCCTTTTGTGTTTCTTGGGAGATCAAAACATTCGACAGTGCAAATGATTTGGAGCCCCTCGAGCGACACTGCTGTCGGCCATGAGACTAAATACTTAAATACAATTGATCCCTACTGATCATGTTTGTCAGACCCGCCGCAGAGTTATCTCCGTCATCCCAAGGAGATAACCAAGGATCACCAAGAGCCTTTGATGTTCTTTGCACTCAGGCTTTGATGGCCGGTGAGTTGCAGTATCGTGCTATGGATGTTGGTTTCCATATCAATTACGAGCACTATACCATCAAATCTCATGAGGCGGGTTCCGCCGGTTCCGGCGGGAATATCTTTGTATGGAGGTCCTTAAAGGATCTTTAAAGGTGTCTCCAACTCGCCAATGCGCTTAGTACAATATATAACTAGTTCTCAACTTAAAACACGTGTTTGTGTGTGAAAAAGGAGAGGAGTCCTTCACCCCTTCACAGTTGTAGACCCACCACGGAGTCACAGAGCACCAAAGTTGGGTCGCCACCAAGGCCTTCCCAGGGATGAAAGAGTTCTTCGACGTTTGCGAGTGGATCTTTGGAATTTTGTTCTGGGCCTCTCGGCGCGAGACCAGACCATCCGATGTGTGTTGTCCTGCACTTTGCGACCATCCTAA